TTCACTGTACACGAATGCATGCAAAATTGCCCTGAATTACCCACCTATCTATAGGCATATAGGCATTACCAAAAATACATCACTACTGAAAAAGTGCAGCCGATCGTTTTTGATACTATATACAAGCAAATAGATGTTACGTACTTATACCTACATATACCTTAGAGACTTTCTTTCACGCTATGCGATAAAAATTCTCTGGTATACTTATATTCAATCAGAGAACATTACAATCAAGAGAGAGAGACACAAAGAGAGAGAGAGAGAGAGAGAGAGAGAGAGAGAGAGAGAGGATTTTACATACATGCAAACAGTCATAACAAACTTACAAATAGAAAACGAACATCTACACACACATTTCTAATATACATCACCAGGCTCCTTTCAAGTGTCACATACCTGCAATAGGAGGTCCAATGATGATACCGACGCCCTAGGATGCCATCTGGTAACCAAAGCTGTGGTTAAAAACATCCATCCCAAAGAGATCAATAACAACATTCGCCAGGCATCCCAACTGAATCCCAAGTGCAAAAGATAAAACGATTCCATAAATAAGAAAAGCGGTAAAAGATTCTCCAGTATTAAACAGCATCATAACTACACCGTATATTGCAATGGTAATCGTATACAGCCACAAGTTTGTGTACGGCCACTTTCGACAAAACACCGTCAGCCCAGCAAAGGGATGTCCTGCCATGTTTGCTATTCCCATGATAGTCATAAGATAAATATTCTTTCTCAGTTCGATACCGCGCTCCACCAAGAAATCAGCTACGATAAACATTACTATGACAACACCGACGTTCCAGCAGACCATGCTGAGAGCGAACAGCAGCATTTTTATATCTCTGAACATTGTCAAATGAAGTACATCTGCATTCTCTTCTTTAGCTTTTAAGGGCTCCACTATAACCCCGCACAGTACAATGTTTAGAGAGATAGCCCCGTTTATAAGCATAGAACCCTGCCACTGGTATTCCTCGATTAGTTTTTCGAAAATGATAGGGAACAGAACAAGACCTAGGCCCTCTCCAGTGCAAGCCACCGCTGTTGCCAGGTAGAGCCACTTGTTGAAATACCTTCCGACCATGATAACACATGGAGTGTAGGACAAGCCAAACCCAAGGCCTAGAAAAAAATTAACGAAAATGTCACCTCACTGACATGGAAGTGTCACTGACTAATGCGAGACATATTATAAGAAATACATAATAAATAGTGCTTTTGTTTCTGTTTATTATATGTTTGGGATATTTTATTTTACAACACATTAGATCCCTTGAAAAAGTACAATATCGTTTCTAGATAACTATGCTACGTCTAATTAGGTTTTTATCCGTAAGGCCGTACTTCGTAATAATAAATGAATTATTGCCAGCGTTCTACCACAAACTTCTACAATTCTTTTAGATAAATTAAGTGTAAAATAATGCGTGCAAATATCGGTCACGCTGTGCACTAGTCGCATAGCTGATTCCCGAAGTTGGATAGGGTTTTTGTTGCAAAGTAGCTGCTTATAATAGCCTGTAGGCGAGAGAAGACCTCCCAAAATAATCGTAAGTCTACATCCATATCTGTTCAGCATTGCACTTGCTAGAGGACCTACAGGCAATAGAAAATCCAACAATGACATATGCGAACACACACATAACGTTCTCATGCTCAACACGCCACTTTATTGAAAGAACAAACAGGATATTACCAACATCAGTCTTAAGTGAGCCTCTAACCTCAATAAATTGCAATCTAACCTCAGGTTAATTAACCTAAACACCATATGAGTCCTTTTATATAATAGATGAAAATTGTGAAAAAAATGTATGTATCTTATGAGTCGATTTATATATGCATCATGTGATTGAATTAATGCATATCATGAATTGATTCATGAATCCCAAATACTCTGTGCCACGAACCGTTATGGATTGTTGACTGGTACTACCCTAGTTCACACCTGCTGTCAATATTGACATAATACCTCCTATGAACACTAGGCAAGTGTTTATAGCCCCGATCCACAGGGTAGTCGTGTGCGAAATCTCGAGATCATCTTTTAGAATGACGAAGTAGACGCCGAATGAGAACGTCATCCCTATCACGATAAAGTTTGTGAGTAGAGCAGCGAGCAACACTGCTAATGCCCAGCCACCGTCTTGCCTGTACACCCCGGCCATCCTACAGCCAGTACCCTAGAAAATCCTAATGTGAGATTTAATCACTATTCAGCGAGACAGCATTACACTGACGCATTCTGCCAAAATAAAAACAGAAAATGCACCAGGAAAAGGTTCAGCATCTACCTTCGAACATGAGCTCCTTACATAGTATTGAGGGTGAGTACTGCAGGAACGGGAATGGGTGGAGAATGGCTGGGATTACAGCGGGATAGTAATGCAGGGGAGTACTACACAGGAATAAGACATTGCTGTGGGAATCAGGAACATTAGTGCAAGGAGCAAACAGAAGCAATGTGGAAGAATATAAGCTAGTTCTAGAACTATCAATACAGCTAAGCTAAGTATATAAAAGCAATGTACAACACTATACCTACCACTTCTAAAAATTACGTGTACTAAAGTGGAGTCTACAGCTAGTTACTCTGACTAGTTACTAGAGTTTAAGACTGTGCTATATCTTGATATGCAACTTAACAGTCACTTGCGGTGTATATGCCCTAAACGTGATTATACTTACAGACTATATGTAAAAACTCAACTTCTTGGCGACATTCTGTGTCGCACTTTGCAAATGACCAAAATGCTGGAAGCGAGTAAAAACCACTGTTGATTGCGCATCACCTGGAAAGTGAGTGAGTGTGACTCCCCAAACTAGTATACTACCGTAATTGCACTAGGGGTAGCCACGGCTGGATTTAGACAGGTGTTAAATTGCGTGAGACCCTGAAGACAGGACGGCGATGCAGTAGCTCGAAAAACACCAGAGTGAAATGAAACAAAGTCTTTATATTTATTTATACAGTGGATAACTTTTATTTAGTATTATAAGTTATATTTTGTAATGATTATGCATTTAATATAGTCAGGGGGTATCTCAGCATAGATTTCTGCAACAAAGTTTATCAGTAGACCTGTCATTATAATTAGGAGAGCGCCCTATCTTGTAAGGAGCAGAACTCTAACGTGACCCAGCTCGTTCTTCCCATTGCCTCCCTTCTCCCTCACTCAGCCCAATTCTTCTTCTAACCCCATTTAGCTATCCCCATACCGCCTTTCCTCAGTCTCCAACCGCCCTCTCACTATCTCTCAAAAAGCTATATTATGCCGTTTTCTTTACTAAACGCTTGAGCGGGTGCTGACGCATGCGCAATATCTCCCGAGAATAATAATATTTTATTAAACTTATGCATTTTAAACGGAGAGAAGGTATTCTAACATAGATTAAATATAATAACATTCTGCCCGACGACGTCGTGCCTGTCACGTACGACCTGAAACTGCAGAAGTTCCTCGATCCGAGTCAGTTTCGATTCACGGGCACCGTCGTGATACAGATCGTCTGTAAGGCGAGCACATCGGTGATCACGCTACACGCTAAGGACCTGGCCATCGACGAAGCAGCGGTCAGCTTGACCAACGTGAACAGCTCGTACCCGGACCCTCGCATAGACGGCTTCGCGAATGACACGCGCAAGCAGCCGTTTAGTATACGGCTGGAGAACGGTCTGGATGAAGGGCAGGAGGTGAGGCTTGCTATACCCTTCAGAGGCAAGCTTCGTGACGATCTGTCAGGGGTCTACCTTAGTGAACATGTCACCCCCGAGGGCGAGGCAAAGTAAGTAATATACTCAGTATATAAGTCATATACGTGTGTGGTCTCACGTAGCGTGTGTATGTTCATTGATTACGATCTAGTGGTGATTAGGATGCAACACGACACGTCGTTCGTCGTCGCGGTCATGGATGGTGGTCGTCACACCGGACCGTGTCGTCGTGGTGTTGCACGCCGTAGCTAGTGCGTATTGCTGGCACCCGTGCGACGTGGGGTCAGTCGCGCGAGCGGTCGACACAGCTGGTGTGGTGGTCCAGGTCACACTAGGCAGTTGTGGTCGGTTCGAACGACCAGCACCACACAACACACAGCAGCACACACACAATATATATATATATATACTTACTACGCGGGATATCCCGGCGTTGGCCTGGAAAATCATGGCGTTTACTTACAGTTGGGGACGCGCTAGGTTGAAAGAAAATATTCAAAAAAATCAAACTATCTGTTACATATCCATGCAATAACATCCAAGCATCCATCTATCCATAACGCATGGACATTGCCATCCATCCTATCTCCATCGCACCGCATCGCCATCCCATCCATTCCCTATATGCCATCCCATCCCAATCGCAATGCCATCTGCATCGGCATCCCAGGCCATGCCATGCCAATGTCCATGCCATCCCATTCCATCCGATCCCATCGCAAGGCCGCGAGAGTGCGCCATCTCATCCCATCCCATCCTATACATGCCATGTCATCCACCCATCCCAACAGTAAAAAATAATAAGAAATAAAAAAAATTAAAAAGTCATTAAAAATGAAAAAGTCAAAAAAATTATAAATAATAAAAATGAAATTATATAGAGAAATATAATAATATGTTATGATATGTAACCTCACAAGCTTCCGTGAAAGTGTTCCCCTGCAGTTTTGCGCTAATCATTGACATCTAGGCCATAGTTTATTCTGCGATTTTCACTAACGTTTTAATGTGTAAAATTTAAATTAACGGTGAATACGGCAGATGTACATACTAAAACAGTCCAAAAAGTAAAGAAACACCCATTCATTTTCCGCGAGGCTGGAATTCGAAGCCCAGAACAATGGTTTAACGAGTCCGATGCTTATATCCATTCGGCTACTGGGCGTGTATGGATATACACAATAGATTCCACTACGTACGTGATGTAAATGTTTTCTGTAGGCCATCTATTGAATGAATAAAATTATATTATTTTTATTTTTTTTGACCTCCGCAGGACGTGCTGATTCTGAAAATATATTTAATTTTCCTCTAGGCTGTCGGAGTTCTCTAGTTATCGCGCGAACACTCCCCGCGCGCTGGCTGCGGGCCCCCCCGGGCGTCACGCACAACGCGCAAACTCGGCTGAACACTTTATATATAGTACGGAATAAAAAGATATATATATATTATACGCGTGCATGCGTGCGTGCGTGCTTGCGAGCGTGCGAGCGTGTGTGCTTGCGTGCGAGCTAAAACGAGATCGTGATCGTGCTTGGTGCCGCCGCCCGTGCGGCGCGTGCGTTCGTGTGTGTTGCGTGAGTGCGTGCGAGCGTGCGTGCGTGCGTGTGTGCGTGCGTGCGCGTGCTATTTCGTTTTACATCGTTAGTTTGAACTTTTGATGTTTTGAATGTTGATATTGAGGATAATATATATATTCAGTAAGTATATATATATATATAGTTGTAAATCATGTCGTTTTGATGTCTTTTCGGAACTGTGGCTTGATTGCATGATGTATGTGCAGCAGTTTCTATATGTCGTAAAATCAATTCCACTACGTGTATATATACACTACATGCTCAGCTCGCGTAAACACTGATTTTGTTAGTATGTTTGTTTTCATTGATATATATATATATATATATACTATATATATTTAAACAATAGCACAACGCAATGATTGCACATCACTTCACCGACTTTAATTCCTAAACCCCATTTCACTGGTTCCGTGACCAGGATTCGCGCGGAAGGAGTCGGCAGCAAGAAAACGGAGTTAGTGGCGAGCGAGTAACGAAGAGTAACATTAACATTAGCAGTAGTGACGTCAGCACCGCATCATAGAGCTGTGTGTGTATCGACATCGAGCGTCTCACCAGCAGCAGCATCAGCGTTAGCGTCCGCGTCATCGTCAGCATCAGCCTCAGCGTCAGTGTAGCGAGCAATGTTGCGCCGAGAATTCTACCCCATTGTAAGCTAATTAGAACACATCTGTAGGAGTAGTTATACGTAGAAATAGGCGTTAGAGTACCTTGGCCAGCGCCACGACACCGGACGCGGTGTCGCCAAAGGCTGGCCGCATAACCAACCTAGAAGTTGTAATAACATAGCGGAATTTGTTGTAGCGAAAAGGCTTTTACGGGCCCAATCACCTATTAGTATAATTAACGACGTGTTTGCCACCCCCGTGTCGCCGAGACAAAGGAGGCGGAAGATACGTGCACAAGGATATAACCCGGCTCGCATACCCATGCCGGGGCAGAGAATTCGAGACACGATTCGTCACGCGCCTATGTGAGCTGCTCTGCATTTGCTGCTATTTGAATGGAGTTGGAATACAGATCCTTCGTGTACCCGTACCGACCGACATCGTGTTTGGTATCTTTTCTCTCATCTCTTCTCATCTCTCCCTCTTCCGTCTTTCTAACGTCACGCCCGTCCTTTCTACAAACCTCCGTCCTCTCCACCTTCTCCATTGTGTAACGTCGCGCCAGTCGTTACATCAGCGTCAGCACCAACGTCAACATCAGCGACGGCTGCTTTCCATCGTCAACGTCGACTGCAGCATTGTTAGAACCAGCAGCAACAACGTCGATCGCCGCAGCGTGAACACCAGCGT